TGCCTGTGTGACTGTACACTGCACTTCTCTGTGTCTGAGTGACTATGCAAGCACTCGTGTATGCGCCATTTGTAACTTTTACCCTAGTAAGGCCCGAGTACAAGTCTCGTTATCTCACCTATATGATACATTACAGTACTTGACTAAAAAAACTTAAAACCTCATATATCACACTACTTAACCCGAAAACTCCTGAACCCTCAAAGATTACATTTATCAACCGTGAAACCCCCTGAAAAACCTTCAAAACCCCATATATCCCACTACTAACCCTAAAAACCACCTAAAAGACCTTTAGAACCCATATCTCACACTATGTAACCTGAAAAACCCTGAAAACCTAAATAACAAACTACTTCTAATATAACCTGAATAACTACTTTCTCCACTAGTAAACCCTAGAAACTCTAAAAAAACCCATATATCACATTACTTAGCCTATTCACTGTCTCCACCGCAGAAGTCAAATGATTACACGCGTCGTCTGTACGACTGTTTGAAGGTGCAGTTATCACCACAACAACAGACAACAACCACTGCATCTGACAATGGCAAAGCGGTTGCAGGAAACACCCAGGTGTGTACAAACAGCCAATATATAGTTACATAAACGTATACCATGTACAACCATTACATATATATATATATATATGTGTGTGTGTGTGTGATATCCCCGTAGTAGCAAGTTGGTTAACCACTTCTACTACGGGGATATCTCAATATATATATATATATATATATATATAATATACTTATATGCATATATATGTGTATGTCTATGTCGATGAATGTGTTATGTATGTGTTGTATATGTATATGTATATGTATAAATATTATATATGTACATGCATATGTATGTGTATGTGTATGTGTATGTGTATGTATATGCATATGTATCTGTATATGTATATGTGTGTGTATATGTATATGTATAAGTACACGCATACGTATATATATATATATATATATATATATATATATATATCAGCATCTAAACTTGTTCTTCAGAGATAAGTGTTTGTTTGCACATTAATTTATGTGTAACATTAGTACTTGCGCATCCAATGCTAATTTACAGGTGCGGCGACTGGGCGGGCGTTTATTTATTATTTAAGGGGTTGTAGGGTTTTCGATATCTGTGTATAGTCGTAAGTAATGCTGAATGTGGATCCGCATACCTACCACTGTATGTATACTATATATCTGCTACTACGTGTTTCTGGTACATGTCAAACTATACCTACTATACATCCACAGTTCCGATTAGGGTACATACTTGTTAGTTGTGCTTTAGCGGGGGGTATACCCGCGCACTTGTCTGTTTTTAATATATTATTCAATGTTATAGCATGTTTAACTAAACCGTGTTGTCGTTGCGTCTAGAGTTCCGAACTTCCCACGCTGGAAGGGCGAGTGGTGCCGATGAACCGATACAAACACTTCACCGTTGGCAAAACCATTCCGCGCGACATGCCTTTCCCTGGTGAGTTAAGTCTTACGATATCGCCTGTACACACAGTCTCTACAGATCATATTACTGGGCATGCAGAAAGCCACAAGAAGCACAGTATGCTTTTGGGGCATGTCGTGGTGTATAGGCCTGTCGTGTTTATATTTGTAATTATATATATATATCCTGTGCTTATCCTCACATCCTCTCTTCCCACTCAGAGAGTCTGCTGGCGTTCAGCATTGCCGATCGCCTGAGCCGGACACAATTGTTATCGCTGTCATTCCAAGAGCTGACTGTGGCTTTGTGGCTCAGATACATCCTGGAAGATCCGAAGGTGTCTACCAAGCTGTTGTAAGTTAGGGTTTAGGGTTCGTGTCATATAACATGCACGGGTTGGCTATAAATAGAACGCAATGTGAAGATGCAACCGAGCAGTAAACTATACGCTTGTTGTGGATAATGGCTCTTGCACTGAAAGTGCACACACCATGACGATAGTCTGGTTATTCACAGAAACGTTAATTTATTCTGAGTGACGTATCGGTGTTTTGCCAAAAATGGCGCAATGCTCTTTGAAATGTCAAACAAAAACATCTTAGCATAGAGAAGGGTAGAAGTTATTTGTCTGACATTGCGTTATCTCACTGCTCACTGACTGAGCCTTTTTCGTTTGTTTTTAATTCATTTGTTTCTAATTCTGTTTTCTGTTCATTTGTTTTTAATTCGTTTGTCTTTAATTAATCTGTTTTTTGTTTTTTATTCTGCGGTCAGGGATCCCTCATTCTCCCAACGCATGCTGCACGTGGTGAGCAAAGGCTATGGCAATATGCCTCAGAAGCACAAGTAAGTACAACAGGTCATTTAAATATAATACAGTACGACGCATTTGTAAGGTCTGTGGTTGACTAATGTCGCTTTCCTTTGTACTGAGACTAGAAGTATAAGATATTTATGACTCTAGAAAACTTTGCCTGGACTAATCTCGTAGAGTAGAGCACATTGTGTAGTTGCATGTGTAAGTCGCTCAATTTGGCCCACTCTATTTGCATATGTGTATTATATATATATATATATATATTTATATATAGATATACTATTTTACTATACATACATATATATATATATATATATATATATGTGTGTGTGTGTGTGTGTGTATAGGGCACTGCGTATCTGTCTGGGTCTGTGCCAGTGGTGTACGTGTGTAAGTACGTTAGTCGTGAAAGGTTACCTTATAGCCTCCATTCTACCGTGGTCTAATGCGTAAAGGGTATTCTCCTATGTACCGGATTTGACCTCTCCTTGCTCATTGGCCTTCCAATGCCTTTGCCTCTCCGCTCAACATAGTCCGATTTTCCTCCCCAGCGTATACCATTGACACGCATGCACACGCAGTCGTATGTCTCTCTGTGCTGTGGTTAGCGTGTACCACCCCATTATTCCAAGTACATGCATGCACGTCTGTTGTAGGTTTGACATGCCGCACCCTTGCATTGATCGTTTCCACCTCCTTCTGCCTACCCACAACAGAACCGAGACTGTCGACAGACTTCAGTTAGTCGAGTGTGTGCCGACGTCACAGGGGTTGCGCCTACCTGAAGCTGCCTACCTACCAGTCGTCTCCTTCTTTAAGGTACCGACAGACATCATACTGTGTGTTTGTGAGAGATAGTATGTTTAATTGCAAGTGTGCGCGCATGTATAACTTTGTGTCTAAGGTAGACTGGATTTGCCTCTGGTACATCTGGACAGGCCCATTGGTCTGTACCAGACACTTGGGGTTCGCTAGAGACCTCAATCCGAAGCCCTGAACCCTAAACCCTATACTCTTATTCCGGACATCAGGCATTGTACATAGCAATAATATGTAAATAAACAAAGATACCTGAACCCTAAACCCTAAACCCTGAACCCTATCCCCTACTCTGTAATGCACCAGGATTTGCCTTTGGTGCATCTGGACAAGACCCATTCGCCTGTACCCGACACTTTCCTCACCACTTTGGGTGTGCGTACGCGAGTGTCTCTGGAGTTGGTACTCGAACGGCTTGGAGAGCTCAATTGGAACCAGGATTCGCTGCTGTCCTATTTGGCAGGTATGTATGTATGTATATATGTGTGTGTGTTGCTCTCTTATTTGGCAGATATGTATGTGTGTATGTGTGTATGTGTGTGTGTGTGAGTGCTGCTCTCTTATTTGGCAGGTATGTATGTGTGTATAGTGTGTGTGTGTGTGCCCTTGGGATCAGGAAGCATCTTTGACTTAATTGGTAGACACAGAGTGTCTGTCTGCGAAAACGTTTAAGTATAAGTTTTAGGACGACAGTGTGTGAAAAGATGCACTGATATGGATGATACACAAATCATTCACTTGTCGTGAGCTTTAGGTTTCTGGGTTTAGAGTCTAGGGTCAGTACTCGCTGCCCCTAATTTTGTGCCAGCTCAGATATCCGTTGCGTCGCAATTGCTGGGCGGTACTAAATATCATTTTTCTATCCCTACACAACAGTGACCTGCTCCTGTACACGTAGCTTCATAATACATATACATATATATATATATAAATATATATATATTGATATATATATATATATAAATATATATATATTGATATATATATATATATATATATTATGCTATTCTAAATGTGAATATTTACTTCAACAATCGGTTGCCACCCATCTTGTTTGTCTGCATCACAGGAGAGATGGATCAGTTCTCCGCCTCTGAATGGCAGCGTCTGAAATCTGTGGCATTTCTGTCAGCAGATGACACTTTCACAACTGGTAAGGAGGAATTTATCTCTCATGAGGTGTATCTCAATTGTCGTTTTCTGATTTGATGTGCATCCGGAACCGAATGTTAAGGGACCGGTCCATTTTTATTTGTACTCCAAATTACCAATGTTTTATAGCCACGCCAAACGAAAGTCGATATCAGCTCGTATTTGGCTATTCCATCGGACCCATGACCTGCGGTATAGCGACTTTAATTTTCTTCACACACTTCAGTATTTCTCCATCCATTGCGCGATATGTACAATACTCTCACCACAGACAGCCGAACTTCGGGATCGGCCACTCTAGGTGGCGACAGTGCCGATGCAGTGGTTGCACCTCCCGCCTACACCAAGGACACCCCGGTCCAAAACCCTCCGTCCCGGGTGCTCAGAGAAAGGACCGCCACCCTCCCCCCATCACGCATGTACCGAGCAAACGAACTGTACACGCCTACAGTCGAACACAGCCTGTTGGGCCTGCGCACGCTGATGTGGGGCTCTGGCAATGGCGCCTCTGCTGTATGTAGTGTGCCGTCTGATCCAGAGGTGTTGTGGATATGTGTGTGTGTGAGTTATGCGTGTGAGTGTGTTGATATTGTGTGTGTTGTGTGTATGTCTGTTTTTTGCGGAAATTCTTTTGCTTGCGCGCACCTGCGGTTCGAATAGCCGGCTGTGGTAGCGGCGCATCTGATGTATATCTTCTGCCATCTGATCAAGGCGTGTTACACTCGTGTGTTTGAGTTTGGTTTAGTATTTTCTATAGAGGAT